GGGAGGAGTGGGAGGAGTGAAGTCATGCCCACGAGTTGGATGCCGTGGCAGCTGTCGCTGGGCGCAAAAACACCGGCTTGCCATCTTCTCATGTTGACGCGTTTTGCGGCATGTGCATCTTCATGCAGTGTCTAAGTCATGTGGGGCATGCTCAGACTCGACCATGTGCCAACACCCTCCTCTGGCTCAACACTTCTCTCTCTCTCACCCCTCGCCGTGAGCCGATGCAATAGAACAGTTTGGTATTTTCTTCGAGCAAGCTTTACCTTGTAAATGGACAAGAAAGTCAGACAAAGTCAGAAAGGGGTTCTTTGAATGCCAGCATTTGTTCGTATAAACTTAATCGTATTCCAACATCTCACGGATTTAAATTCGTGGACAGTATCCTCCTTCTCAACGAATAAACTCTTCAAGGAAACATTCTTCCATCTTTTCTCGCGTCATCTCGGTCTCAACTCATCTTTACTTAAGCAGCTAGTCGTAGACTGTTCCAGTTGGCCTTTAAACTCAACAAATGGAAAATATGGTCATTATGAATTAGAGCATAGACTTAATATTGGTACTGAATTTTGCCTCGCAATGCCTCAAGATTGGATAGCAGGCTACACACAAACTCATTGGTTTAGCGCAAAATCAAGATCCTGTTACTAACAACAACTTTAGTAATTTATCAAACTAGATTTTTCGAAGTAAGTATTGCTTTCGTGACTACCAATAGATCAGTAGTATGAAATCTATTTACCCAATTTCGTTTAAGGCGATTAAGGACTGGTAGAAAAAGAATTTTCCCACAAGGATGTGAGTTGACCTGACGTTTTCATTCAATTTCACATACCCTTGCATCCCATAAGCTATTATCATCTCGACTAAAGTGGACTAAAGTTTTGATCTCACTTCAAATATTCTCATAAGTAGTATGAGATGTATTCTCTCAATTTCATTAAGGGTGATGAAGGACTGGTAGAAGAAGAATTTTACAACAATGATATGAGTTGAGCTGACGTTCCCATTCAATTTCACAAAGCCTTGCTTTCCCAAAAGTTTTTCTCAT